AGTTTTTATTATTTTATTTTTAATTGTAGCTCTTATATCGTAGCTAGCGATTTGGAATGTAATTGTTATATTAAAAATGCATTTAGAGAAGTTTACGGTTTTTACTGGCTTGAACAAACGAATACGAATCGACCCTAGACCATCACTGACGAGCAATTAACTGATTGCCTCTGGAGTAAAGTGACCACACGTCCCGATTTTGGCGGGACAGTCCCGCTTTTTGGTGGACTGTCCCGCGTCCCGCCGATTTTTAAAAATGTCCCGCTTTTTAGAAAATATCTGCATTTCTTATTTTAAATGTACTGTAAAAATATATTACCTATTATTTATTAAGTATTATGGTGAATATAAAGAAATAAAAAATACATAAAAAACACATAAAATGCATGCAGAGTAAACTAAATTAGGCAATGTACCGAGTTAGATTTACTCGGTGGTGTTCGATCATTGTCGTTACGTCTCGGCTTAATTCAGATAAGTGCAGACAGTGCGGACTGCCGTTAGACAGTGCGGTTTGTTGTTTTCAATTTGACGTTCGGTTTGACTCATTATTTGATTGACGAAGGTAGAGCAATAGTCGCCACAACGTAACGGTCAATAAGGTAAAATTTAATACTCTTTTTTAGCCTTTGTAGTAAATTTTTTATTTATTTCTAGTATTTACCCACAGAATAAAAGATGAGTAAAAAAAGAGAATGCAAATTTAATGAAGAGCTAAGCAGAGAATTTCCATTTATTAAAAAAACCAAAATAGACTATATGGTACGGTGTGATAAATGCAATGCTGAATTTTCGGTCTCACATGGTGGAAAAAACGATATTACTAAACATCTAGCGACAAAGAGGCACAAAAGATTTTTGAATAATGCCGCTTCCTCGTCTAAAATGGAACAGTTTTTTCGCAGTGCTAGCTTTGGCAACACGGAAAAACAGCTAGCATTAGCGGAAGGGCTATTTGCTTTCCACACCATAAACCACAATCAAAGTTTCAGATCAATGGATTGTACGTCGCAAATGATCAAAACATTATACGACAAAAAATTTGCATGTGCAAGGACAAAAACCGAAGCAATTATTTGTAATGTTTTTTCACCATATTCGTTTTCACAATTGCAGAAAGAATTAGAAAAATGCGCATTTATATCCATATATTCTGATGCTTCCAACCACAAAGATTTAAAATTATTTCCCACAATTGTTAGATTTTTTGATCCAGAAACAGGAATTAAAATTAGAATATTAGATTTTGTTTCATTGCCGGGTGAAACTATACAAATAATTTTTGATTCAATAAGTACTATTTTAAAAAAGAATAATTTGGACAATAAAATTATTGCCTATTGTGCGGATAACACTAACGCAAATTTTGGTGGAAAAGCTAGAAGAGGCATCAATAACGTTTTTACGAAACTTAACGAACATTTGAACCAAAAAATTATTGGAGTAGGTTGTGCAGCGCACATTCTACATAATACTATTCAAACAGCATCTGACTTACTTCCAGTTGATGTTGAAAATATTATTGCAAAAATTTATTCGTATTTTTATATATATACTGTGCGTGTTGAAAGTTTGAAGGATTTTTGTGAAAGCGCAGAAATCGAATATAAAAGAATTCTTGGTTACAGCAAAACACGATGGCTAGCTCTTTTACCAGCTGTAGAAAATATTTTAAAAATATACGAACCATTAAAATCATACTTTTTATCACAAGATAAATGTCCAAGAATATTGCAGCTCTTTTTTGAAAATGACACATCACAAATTTGGCTTCAGTTCATCCACAACCAAGCTACATTATTTCACAATGCTGTGAAAATTATTGAAGGGGACAAAATTTCAATTACGGAAGTGTCAAATGAAATCAATAATTTAAAAACAAAATTACAAGAAAGAATTGATAACGATTACATTCCTTTAATTATTCGAAAAGACATCACTAGGTTGGAAGAACAAGGTGCCATTAAACGACCTGATTTTCTGAAACATGTCAAAAATTTTTATAATAACTGCTTGGAATATCTTGAAGAATGGACAGTTCAATTCGAAGATATTAAAAATTTTCATTGGGTGACATTAAAAAAGGAGATTTTATGGGAATATGTGGAAAAATCTTTTGAATATATTAGTAACCATTTTCCGAAAAATAATATTTGCGAAAATGATCTTTTTGATGAGGTGTCATTGGTAAAAAGATATGTTACAGATGAAAAAATTAAATGTTGGTTGTCTGCAAATGTGGAAACAGACAAAAAATGGACGGAGTTATTCCTTCATTTTAAACAGAATAATATTCCTTATCAAAATATTTTGAAAATTGTAGAATTCGCGCTCTCCCTTCCAGGAACAAATGCAGCAACAGAACGTGTTTTTTCTAGTATCAGTAAAATATGGATAACTGAAAAAACGCAGTTGAACATTAAAATTTTAAAATCTATATTAAGTGTAAAATATAATTTGACCAATTCATGTGAAATATTTCACGACATTTTAATACATGATCCGAATCTATCGCAAAGTATTCACTCGGATCAAAAATATGACCGTGAAAGAAAATCATAAATTTTTTTAAATAAAAAATTTAATTTGATTAAAAATCATGATGTTCAAATTATTATTTTTTACAAACATTTTTATAGTTACCAATAATTAATAATAAATACATTTTTGTACAAGTATATGAATGTATACAATAAAATATATATAACTAAATTTTTATTCTCGTTTCATCCCATTTGTCCCGCTTTGTCTCAATGAAAATGTGGTCACTTTACTCTGGAGGTCTGCTTCTTACAGAAATACAGCTTCCCTATCATCAAATGTCACGGCACGCCACTGTTAGCCAACTAACAAGAAATTACTATGGAATGAAGACATTTTAAACGAATTCGTATTAAGGGTAAGTCACTTTCATCTAGCTTGAATATACTTTAGAGAGGCTGTGACTTTAGATACATCGCTTTTGGTGTTGACTACAAGTACTATCGGCTGCCATTTTACTTTTAGTCAAAACATTGAAATCGTGATTATCTATTTTTTTCATCGAGATCTGGATTGTTTTGTTTGCTCATAGATTTAGATTTAGGTAATTAGATAAGTGATATAAATCTAGATTGTTTCATCTCGAATTTAGCTATTTTGTAGATTTTTTTTATTGAGTAGCGACAAAATAGTGACTTTTCAAAATATCTGTGGCGAAATCAGCGACTTTTGTTTTAAAATGTAGCAACATTTATTTACGAACAGTTGAACACGGCTTAGAGTTCAAACGTGAAACGTGTACTTCTGCTTTCCGTACAAGTTTAACATTTGAACTTCGGCCGCAAACTCTCTAATAACTCGACGGTCGGATGGCCGAGCGGTCAAGGCAGTCTATCGCTCTGGGAAATCGGAATGGAATCCGAACGGGTAGAAAAAATCAACAGGAATTTTTCGGGGGGTGATCCGACCGGATATGTCGGGCCCCTTCCATCACTACCCGGCCGCACCGTTGTGAGCCTGGCCGAACCTATAATGGGCTTGCTAAAAGAGACCCTCTTAGTGCCCACAGGCGGAAAGAGTTTAAAAAATAGTAGAATATATGCATATTAGTACAATACGACATATACTAATATTTTTTAATGATAATTTTTGTGAATAAATTAAATAGTGAAAATTAATTATATTATACAGTACTGCACATGCTGTACATAAAATGAGAGATGTCAAAAATTAAAAATTTAACTTATACGGACATCTCAAAATTAGTTTGATAAGTTAATGTTTTTCTAAAATATCAGAATTTTTCATTTTACTCATAACAGTTTATTTTTTAAATTAGATTTAAACGATAATCAAGAAATCATTTGACTACTTTTTGGCTATTTTAAAAGTTGCTTGACGACATCGCCTAAAAATAATCGCACAATTTAAATTTGGCCATTCGTTAGATCCAGTTCAATCTGGTCTTTGTGTCGTTTGTAAGCAGAGTTTGGGTACAAATACCTAGACATTTCTATCTTATTTTATTATATTGAAATACAAGATAGTTTTGGGTAAGTGTACTTTTTATTACATAAAACTTTAAATATGGAAGTTTTTGGTAAAAGTTTTTTATAGGTTCATTCTTTGAAATTTCGATCGAGTGTAATCTTAATTAAGGACGAAAAATGTAACATTTTTGAACTCTACTTAAGTATTATAGGATATAGATAATGGTTTTTCTATCATTGCGATATGCAGATTATACCAAAATTTATTATATCGAAACGACACTGGCTATCTAAATGGATCGTTATAAATTTCTAAATGGATCGTTGAATTATCCATTGAACTCCGTGACGTCAGTGTTGGTTCACCATGGAGTTCAACGGACTCAACCACGTGAAAGACCATTAATTAATTACCATACGTTTCTATATTCAACGGTTGACTCAACAGTGAATTTTCCGTTGAGCCCCTCCGTTGAACGATCTGACGTCACGTTTTGCAGAAAAAAGAAACTCTTTCGTTGAGAGGTCGCTTTTCAAGATGGCTGACTTAAGTAACGAGAAGGTGACGATTGTGACTGTTTTGCTAAATAATTAAAGTAACTCGCTTAACCATTATTAGAATAAATCCTTTTATTCAAATGAACCCATATATGTATCATTTTCTTGTTTACTGGGTCTTTCTTTAATAATTTTAATTAATTTCTTGAATATTTATATCATTAGGAAGACTTAGCGGGCCAAATATCGGTCGTAATCAATTTTGGACAAATGAAAAAATCTTAATATTTCAATATTGACCAAATTATCCAACATAATCGTGCAATCACGTGTTTTATCATATACAGATTGTTCATTAATCTGTTCGCTATTACAGCATCCACAGCAGCGAATGGATAGTTTCTATAAGCGAAATTTACTTTTTCGTGGAAGCCGCCATGTTAGTTTGTTGACTACTCAACGGTCTTTCAGGTCGTTGAGACCGTTGAGCTCAACGGTGAAACAGCGCTGACGTCACTAGTCTCAACGGAGAACTCAACGGTCCATTTAGAAACGTTGTTCTCTCACCGTTGAGTCAACTGTTGAATATAGAAACGTACGG